ATACGGATCATGTGTATATAGCATTAATCACGTGTAATAGTTACGCCTTACACACTGAATAAATGTAGTAACTAGTAAGTTAAGATTGGCAAATTTTTAAACATACCTTTTTTATTTTTTAAGGACCAGGCCATGAAGATTTTGGCGATTATAAACTAATGTGTCGGCTAAAAGGTATATACAGAAGTATATTAGACCCAGATTCTTTTGTAAAAGAAGTTGAAGTTGTTGGTGAAGAGTGTCATCTTAAAGAAATGAACAATACTGTACACGTAGTCAGTTGCATTGGGAAAGCAGTATGAGACCAATAAGAAATACAACATTAATATAGTATAAAGTATTCACCTTCTTCTGAATTATTATAATTTAGGTCAGAAATCGTACAGTTAACTCATTAAAGATTATACAGTAATATTGTTATTATATTTGAATAATTGTTCCCAACTACACTTGTATCCAAATTATAAAATGTAATGTATCTTACAATAAATCATTTTACTTACTGATTATAAACTCATTTGATGCTTTTTACCTGTACACAGATTCAATTCGAAGTGGTTTGGAAAATAGTTTAATTTCTTTTAATCATCCTTTATAATAGCCTATTATAATACATTCAAGCCCTATGTCTGAGCCACTAGTCTTCATAGTTTATAGTTGCATTTTATTCGACGTTATTTATTTATAGCAAATTTAGTTCATTCTGCAATGCGTAGCTGACAAGGTACTTTTGCATTTTATTTTCGGTTAGTCTCTTTTTGTATATTAAATTATTTTTTTCATACAAATGACATTTTCTAGGAATGTGTTTATAGAAATAATATACTAAGCTAACGAATCGGTCCAAGTTGGTTTTATCACAAATTCGGCATCCGTTTCGGTTTTAAACGTTGCTTTCCTGTCTTTTGAAAATGTCAATAATAATTTTACCGGAAACTTCGGTGTGGATTATCTCTCTCTTCTCTCTCTCTCTCTCTGGGACGAACCAAAGGACTATCTCAACGTCTCGGTTTTGGCATGAAATAGATTTGAATTTCGATTAACGCCGTCACGCAAAACCCATTGTACCGAGATTTTGGTTTAGGTCCGTACCCTAAAGTTTGTAATTTAACGCCGCATAACCCCGTTAGGTCAGACAACTGCATAATTTCATTTACACAAAATCCACAAAACTCAATCCGGTTAGAACACATTCAACACAATAGTCTCGATTGTGTATGCAGTAAAAAAAGCTACTATTTTTTTTTGCTATTCGAAGATATATATAGTAATATATATATATGTTACTTGAGATATTATAAAACGAAACGGTATAGGATTATTATTGTTAAAATCCCTTAGGCTATATAAAGTGTATATTATATATAAAATAACGAAGTGAGCAACAATTTGGTAAACACACAAAATTTGTTCTAACATATACATAATAATGGGAAAAAAAACCTTTTCCCGTGTCGACGACCGAGTAGAGGGTTGGAAATACTTTGTAATATTTCAGTAATATAAAAACAAATACTACAAGAAGGTGAGATATAATAACTAAGCCCACAATTATTATTGTTTCTCATCCAGATAATGCAAAAGCGTAGGTATAAGCGCTAGTATTTTATTATTATTATTGTAGTTGTTAAAGGAACCGGATTTTGCTTGCACACTTTATAACAGTGCTATATTATATAATTATATTTTACAGCGGTCGACCGAAACTTTTGAATCGAAACCCTTTTTATTTATTATTAGCGCAAGCTTATTTTTTTAATGACCCTAACGCCGCAATTTCTTTCACACAAGGTGGGGAGGAATATGATTTACGCAATCATTATACAGCGCAGTGGTTTGATTTACGATCAATGCAAACTTTTTTTCACCGTTGTAATAACTGAAAAAGGTCAACGGATGTACATGATTTATCGCATAGCCATTCTCATCCCCCCCCCCCCCGACAACGGTCTAAGTAACTTAAAACAGTCTACTTAAACGCTAAAAAAACACTTCTAAACAGTCACAATTATTGGAATATTTTATGCGGAGTTGACCGTGCAAAATTCTTCCTCGACTTTTACTACGTAGGTGTACCTAACTATTTTGACATATGTTGAAGAATTTGAAAAAAAAAATGTATTTTGATTTTTGTAAATATCTAAGTGATAAAACTGACCTAGGTAAAATTGCTGATGCGTTTGAACATTGATAGTACACACTGAATGCTGGAAAGTCTATTCCATTAGGTTTTTAAAGTTTATTAAATTGTTTCATTTTGATTTGAATTTTAAACAATTATTTCAACTTTTAACTGGGCAAATTTAAACCATAAAACAATGTCATCTGTACAACACAATCGTTGCTAATGTGAATAAACTAAAACCAATTCCATTTGGACAAGTTAACCGTCATCGAATCGTTCAAAGTTCAGACATATACTCATACTTATACTCTCTTCCACTCGTGGCACAAGTTCGTCTAGTGTTAATAATAGCAATTTATTGCTTTGAGAACTTTGTACGCGTTTAATGTCTTAATCTATTAGGTATATCTAGTTGTACCTATCGTACACAATGCTCTGACATAATAATATAACTCCTACAACAACAATTGCGAGACACCGTCGAGTAGATACTATGACGAAGATGTTAAATGCTACAATTTCGCAATAACAATAAATTAAACGTACCTACCTATTATTACACTTTATCCATTAATTTAATTAACGATGCGCGATAAAGCAAATGTGATGTTTTAAATTTATAGCAGCTATGTTTACATATTACAGACAACCCCGTTTGCCCCGTTTAACATACCTACCTACGGCTATAAGGGTTGGAAAATAAACCTGTTGTTTGTCTAAAATCATATATATATATATATATTGCCATATAGTTATCATAGTGTATTATTGTATAATATTGTATACAATGCATTTGGTGCATGAGCGGATTGCTCGCAGCGTTGGTGAAACGTACCGGGTAGGTGGTGGCTGCTAATCTAAAAGATTATCCAATTTATCTTTTTCGCAAAACTTAATTATTAAGTTCTACCAGCTTTTCTCGCGGTTTAACTTTATTGTGAGTACCGCCATGTATTTCTTTATGGCCTCACGTTTCCACTAGTTACAAACACCGCCGCGGATAAAATCCCTTTTCTTGGCAGGTGGCACATTAACTTTGTACTGGCTGTTATAACGTTGTATGTGCTCGGCAAATAAAGAATAGCCTGCGATTATAATAATTCTTAAGGTTAAAACGCTTTATTTTTTTTCCTCTGCGCTAGTGGTTAAAAAAAAATATATACGACCGTTCTAAAAAAACTACTTGCGGTTGGCTGTGTGCATATTACACGGTATATTCTGTTAAATATGATTTAAGTACAAATACAAATTATTCAATGGAAATAACGATAACATTTTTTCAAAAAAATTATTTTTATTTTAACATGATATTGTTTTTAGTTTTAGACTTAATTGGTCAACCAGGAAAATTCGTTGAGTTTTTTTTTTAATGCTTTATCTATTTTTAATTTTATTTTTTTAATGCTTGATTTGTTTCTTGTTCGATCCATTTGCTTACTCAATTTATTTACTCGATTTGCTTACAAATAAATACAATTGAAATTGTCTTACAGGAAACACACTTGTATAGTGTGAAAGTTAAAAAAAAACTTTATCTGTGTCGCCTCGACGAGTATTACTTTAAAAACGCGATCAGTTTTCGATTTACATAAAGGTGAAACAAAAAAAAAAATGTTTAAGCGCTTATTTTGAATTTATTGAGTAATTTATGATGTAAAAATCTCGTTTAATGTTCGACTTGGTTACTCGTTTACCCGGTTTAGTAACGCAATTTGTTCTTATCTCTTTACTATCATTCTCTTTAATTTTCTTGACTTGATCAATTTTTGTTTGTACAATTTTAAGTATTATTAAAAGACAGTGAACCTTACATAAACACTAAGACACAGTGTACATTTCACGGGTCGAGTGGAAAAAATGGCCAAGATAATATTTTTATTAGGTCAAAAATTCTTTTGTACTTATTTCTTATAACAAAAGTAGTCGTACAAGCTATACACACACTTGGTTTCTAGTCTGCAACAGCTATTGTTATTGTTTTATAATGTGGAATTTTTATAATTATCCAACAAATAATCGCGGTTTGGGTTAACTCTGGGACCATCTAAACAACAATTATTGCTTTTAGCTAAAAGAAAGGAAGTCAACAACTAATTCGGAATTCGCTAAATCGGTATAAGTCATGTGTATATCAAATGAGTAATCACTATGTATTAACTTGATAAATAACGTAAGTCGTTATTAAGCCCAAACCATCAGTTGGCAAACAAATAAAAATATATTTCAGAAGTCATAAAACCTTGGTTTTGGAAATAAAAATCCGTACTACTAAAATACAAAACAATTTTTAAAAGTTAACACCACTTATTGAAAGTTCAAATATTCTATCGAGTACTGATTGCGTTGAAAAAACGAAAATCGTCGGTTTTAATCTGCGAATAATTAAAAGATTAGACGATGATTGTCTTTTAAACTTGACGGTTGACGTGAAGCCGAAATTTTGGGGTTTTCAATTAACATTTTTGTGGGAAAAATTAAACAAGCAACCGAGAAAATATTTTAGACAATTATTGTTATATCCTCAGTGTCCACAGCAAAATGTAGAATATATAAAAGTAATGGTAAAAAAGATAATAATATATGCACCGCTGAGGTCAGCTACGGCGCGGTGCGACAGCCCGTCGATAAAAACCGGCGGTCATTGCATCGGCGACGATCGGGTAGTGCCGTGTACCTGCCCCGGTAGTGTCGCGCCGGCAGGTTGGCAACACCGAATCCACACACACGCCGTCGTTGCCCTTCCACGGCCACCGGCGGCCGCCGAACGACAACACCCCGCCGCCGCCGCCGACACACGGGCCTATTATTGTGCGCGCGCGCTCTCCCCCTTTGCCGCCGCTAGTGTCGTGCCGATGTAAGTGTGCCGTGTGTTGTCTGGCCGCCGCCGCCGCCGCCGTCAGTTCCCGTCCGATCGGAATGCGTCTCGTTTGTTGGCCATCGTGAGATCGTCGTCCGGCTTATCGTCTTATCACATACACACACGCTCGTTTTAGCGTTTTCACACCGTCGTCACGTGACACCAGCTTTTTTCCGGGTGTTTTTCGTTGGATTTCCGTCCGCCGGCGCACACTCCACCATCGTCTACCGGACCGTCGGACACCGGAACAGCAAAAAAAAAACTTGTGAGTACAAAACTGCAAAAATCGAGTAGTCAAAAGCGGTGTTGTAAAATTTTGGATTTCTCAAAAAACAACCTTCTCCCCCCCCCCCTAAGCGGGCTCGAAAACTTCTAACTGTCTAAGGCGCATCCGGTTGGGGTTTTTTGGGAAGATTGTTTTCTTAAGCCAATATTGTATTATACATTCTTGGCTGGTTTGTGTGTGATAATATTATCTTCTATGATTAGACACGGCCAATAGGTACGATTCGGACAATATAACCGCTTCTGTTGCTGCTCAGTCGTATACAATATATTGTATTGTAGTCTTCAGCCGGTCACAGAGCTGTTAATAATAAAAAAAACACATTATTATTATTATTATCAGTTAAACTTTTAGGGCCAACGGCACCACACGTGTTGATCGACCTAACCGTGATAACGCCCACCTAGTCCGGTTAAATCATATTGTTTTAAAAAAATAATAATAATAATAGGTATAATAAGAGCGACTGTTTGAGACAAACGGATGACTTGAGAAATGCCAGCCCTAGCAGTCCTATGAAATTAACACACGTTTTAATGATGATAATAATAATTAAGACAGTTTAATTGACTCTTTTGAAGTGCCAATCGTCAGTATTCTACATTATTATTGTGTGTGTGTGTGTTTCGAAAAGCCTATACTTGACGATTAATTTCTAACGGTGTAATGATGTCTTGTACTGAAACTAATAGTAGTTCTCATCTTAAACAACGCCGGGGTTAGAGCATAGTTAGGGCTATTGTATAAAGTTGACAATTGCCAATTGTTGGTAAGTTTGGCCGGGCTCGTGTAAATCGATAATATTTGGTTTTTTTTTTCTTCACTTAAAACGGGTTAATAACATAATGTAAAGGTACAGGCGAGCCGTGTGGTATCGAGGGGGACGTTAACAAGAGGTGCATTTGCAGTATTCCGGTTTAAATTATTTATACAATCGATGGTGGGGTTATATTAGATTGTCGGTCTGTAGTGCCAAGGGTGTATATTGTAGAGGACCTATACAGAGGATTCAGAGTTCAGGTGGTGGTGGTGGTGGTAAATAGGTTAAAAGTTTTGCTTTCATTAAAAACAGTACAATGTGCCGGGGTTAGGTGCCTACCTTAATTCCAAGACTCGGTAAATTGGAAAATTCCGGCGAGACGCTAAACTTTTGGTTTGTTTAATAATTTTAACTAACACACACGACCGAGAACTGATAATAAGAAAACTTTTAAGTTCATTTATTTACCTTGCAAATAACCGTACCGCGGAAATGGTTGGAAAACAAAACACACACACACACACATTGGAGAGCTTGCCATTGAAAAACAGTCTTTAAAAGAGCTGATGAAAAAATGATTAAAAATAGGTAGAAAATCGCCCATATATTGTGACATTGACGGGTGTGAATAGGCGTGCTGTTATTATTATACCAAAAATTATGTTATTATAACAGACAGTGATCGGCTACTATTATGATAATTGATTTCCTGACAGAATTACCTGCACTGAGTTTCCATCGAAATAAATCTTATATATATATATATAGAAAAAAATTGCCAAGAATTTTGTATTTTGTATTAAACCTTTCTCTAGCAGTTTGACGTTGTCTATTGTCGTCCAATTGTTTTGATGACAGCGATTAACAATATTGCTTAATTTTTTCTCTTATCTTTGGATGTATTTTGACTCTGCTTGCTTCCCAACCGTGTCTTGTAAATAAACTGTGTTTGATTTTCCTGTTGACGTTAACAGGGTATTAATTGCATGCGTATGGCTATCTCTCTCTCTCTCTCTCTCTGATTTGATCAATACTACACCGTCCGTCTTCCTTAAGTAGTCAAGACAGCAGAACCACACACAACAACTCATTACCGGATTCTTTGGATTCCTTTTTTTTGTTTTGTTTTTGGCGTTTGGCACACGATCGGGCGCCGTTCCAAGCGCGTTTCCAAAATCGGATACCGGAAAACAAATGATAAATCACAGCACCAAATTATATCGGTCTGGAGGTTAAACTAATATATATATATATATATATATTTATTTCCAAAGCGAAAATGACATGTCAAACGTCGTACAGCATTACCACCTACCACCTACCTTCTTTCAAAGAGAAAACCCCAGTGCACGCGAAGCAATATATTTTCCCCTGGTTCCCTCTGTATATATATGCCCATTTTAACAATCCAGTGTTTACCACCCTGCTCGCCGCCGTAGGGTTTCCCGTATAATAATATCATCCCCTATCGACGACCAACGGGGGTGGCGGGTGCTGCACAGCCTGCAGGTCTTTGGTATAAGTACAGCTACCGTTTAACGACGTCGCCAAAAGGTGTGCTCAAAGCAAAATACCAGACCGGCCAAACAAAATTTGGATCAAACGCAATGTGCAAGTATATTTAATGTTATGTACAATAATAATTGAAACACTAATTTGTCGAGATTTAATCTGAGATCTCGTATATAATGGTATGACATTTATTTGAAGATCTCACGGTAATAGTAATATTAATAATTTTACAGACGGTGACGTCCTACGGCCACGAGATCTAATGCGAAACCTCAGCTCTAATATTGACTAGAAACTGTAAACGACTTATTAGAAACCATTTTTTTTTATTAATAGTTACTGATTTTTAAAAAAATCCGAGAAAAAAAATGTTTCGAGTAAACTTGGAAAAAAAACCATATCTCTTATCGCTTTTCCTTATCTCTCTTATCTTATCAGATAAATCAGCTGATTTTTTCGTTATGATGACCGGTGTCGGTCAGGACAAAGTTTTGTGAGATCTCACTTTAGAGCTAATGGCGGTGTCAACGTGTATCAACTACTTGTTATCAGTAATTCTTATCAGTTTACGAAAACCGTTTTTTGACAAACCTATTGTTTTACTTAATCTGCAATATCAATTTACGACGGTTATCGTCCGATCGTTTCACTAATTATTATAATTAATAATACCAAAAACTAGCTTATTATCGTTTACACCAAGGTTGTAGTGTAATGTAATTGTTACACGGTCTGTAATTTACTGTAAAAAAAATAATAAATAAACGCATCATCGTTTATAGGTCTCATATTTTGTTATCATTAGGTAAGATTAACAATAATATCCCTTTGTGGATCCCCGCAGGTGCTTCTAGCTATGACTGAAAATTCCTTAAACATGTGCGGACCAACACAAAGGGTGCTGTTGAGAGTAGTGGGCGTAGTGACTACTACTGGTGGCATCCGGTTTCCCTTTAGAGGAGCTCACCGGCTAGTTTGCTGTGTATTTATTTTTATTACCTCTAAAAATGACCCTAAATACGAATCCGACACTTCTTCGCATCTCCACAAGACTACAAGATATTTTATTAGCCTCATATTATAAAAAAACGCATAAACTCTGGACCGAACCGTGTAAAAACTATGCACATTGACCACACATTCCACAGCATCTTATGCATCTCAGCAGTAAGGTGGGAGAACACCAGGCAAGTGGGTCGAATGTCGAAGCACCAAGAAAACTATCCTATATTTACAATATTGTGGTAAACTTTAACTTGTTCATTTATGCTTGCCATGTTCACCCACCAAGACAGTCGGTGCCGTTGGTATTCGACCGACCTTTCACTTACAATTAGTGGAGATATTCATGCTGGTCATGTGTATACACAACATTATTGCTGTTTCAAACAGTGTGGCCGGTATATAATAGCATATAGCAATAAACGGCTATGTGTCTAAGGTACACACTAGTACTTAAATATAAGGCCGGAAATACGACCCGTTGCGCGCTATTTGTTCGCTAATTTACTCCCCTGTATTATTACTTAATATGCATATAAATGTAATTATACATTTTGTGTGCTCACAACCGTAATAAATTTGCGTGCAAGCAAAAACCAACTAAGTTTGGACAGCCTTTGGTCTCCTAATACCGCTTGCAGCAGAGCACAAGTTGTCAATTGCTGATTGAAATATCCACCACTGTGTGCCACCATATGATGCGATTAGATATGTGACAGCGGTGTCGTCACTTATTAATAGAAAAATACAAGTAAATAAGAAAAGAAATGGGTTGAACAAAAATAAAATAAATACAATTTAAGTGTCACTAATGGTGTGTGGCTACTTGAGTAGGGGGTAGGAACATAACAATTTGTGTGTAGCCAATTATTATTAATATGTATTAAAAGTTTAACATAAACAATTATAAATATATATTTAAATACTGATGCTCAATGATAAGCGCCATTATCACTGATAACACTATCTTTTCACTGATATCACTTCCTTATCAGTGATCATCAGTATTTAAATATATTATTCATATAAATGTTTATTGTATAATATAAAATTCTCAAGACGCTTTTAGATGGATGTATTGTATTACATAATATATACTGTTTGTGCTGTTAAATTGTACAGATTGTATATTCTTCTCAACGATAAAAACAATATATATATATATATATATACAAGGTGTTTTTTTATGTTTAGAGCAGGAGGAAAATGTGAAGTGTAGTATTATTTTTGAAAGTTTCAAAAGTTGCTATCAAAACAACTTACTTGAGTAGGGGGGTAGGAACATAAAAATTTGTGGAAAATCGAGATCACTTGATAAAAAAATCACTCTGTATATATATTTTCGGTAACGTACCTTTGGGGTTTGTGTGCGTTTCTTCCAGCCCTGTGACAACAAAATATATAAAAGACTTATATGTGTCGCCTATAGCGAATATATATTATCTGTTGTATATAGAGACGTCTCGAAGAGGTGTCTGTGTGTATGTACCACCTATAGTAAAATATTATCTTCATAATATATAGAGATACACAGAGCCTGTAACCGACAGGCGTTGTACACGACAGGCGATGCTTTTATTAATCAAAAATCGTTCGAGTATTGCAAAAATTGTAATACTCAGAGTTGTAAAAAAAAAAATCAAAATTCAAACGATATATGTATGTTATTTGCGAAGTGTATTTTTCGAAATCGACGCAGGTACAG